GTGTGTTGTCCAGGTAGGCTAAGATACACTGAGGTGTTGTCGTCCGACCTCCAAAAGAACGCTCTGGCAGCTTTGCAAAGACTGGGAGCTGTACGGAAAATCAAAGGGTATGTTGGTTTTCATCATCCTTGTGTCCCTGGTTGGTTGGACTGATAATAATAATCATTCAAAATATTCAGAATCCAGATTATAAATGATCAAACATCCACATTTAGTATGTGAAGTAGGAGTGTGGATACAGATACGTGTACGCTTAAATCATGATTTGGAACTTTCACTGAACTTTTTTCTGACATGAAGATTTAAATTAGGATTTATTAAAGTTATTTTTGGGGGATTGAGCCGTAAAACAAATGTTCCACTCGTTGATCATGGAAAGTAAGTTTATTTATTGAGGCAAAAATTACGTCTATTATTATTGTTATTATTATTATGTACAAGATAAGATAGACTTTATTGATCCCACACCAGGGAAATACAACAAAAAGAGAGTGCCTGATAAGAAAATACACATTATAAAAATAAAATGTATATAATGGAAAAAATAAGTTATATACACTAAATCGCACCTTTTTATATATACACAGATATGTTCAATGGAACATTGCATAGAGATAATGTCACACATTTTTTACAAAATATTATCTTGAAAGATTACAGCAGGAGGTAGTTTCACAGTGTAAATATAATTGCACAGGAAAAATAATTGGAAAGCGTAAGTATAATTTAAATAAAAATATATATGAACAGGGTTCCCACACATCCTGGAAAGAGCAGAGTACAGGTATAATATAATAACGTAATTATAAAATAAAGTAAGATAATATGTATATATTTATTATGTAAAGGCTATGCATATAAAGTTTGTATACATATTAAGCAGTAGGATTTATAACCAGAGATAAATATGATAATATGAATTAAGGATCTAAGGATAGTCTGTTTGTTGTCCCTTTTTTTGCACCATTTAAGGACAAACACCCCCCAAAAAAGCAGGATGAGACTGCAAATCTGTTTTTATAAAGCATAAAAACACTAAACTTTAATGAGCTGGTTAAAATACAACATTTTCTCACTTACCTCTAATTATATCGAGCCATGAAGCTAGTTTTGGTGATTTCTGCCTCCCTGAAAAATAAACATAAAAATGACAACAGCAATCTCTATTAGGAAACAATGTCCTTTGAACTCTGGCTAATCCACAGAAAGCTCTCCAACTTGCTCTAGTGCTGAAAATAACCCCCAGTGTTTTTACTTCAGAGTGGAGCCGGGGACTTTAAAGGTCAACAGGGTGATGGTGAACTCGCTGGAAGACACTTTAGGTAAGAAACAAGCTGTCAGTCGGACTCTGAACACCCGGCTGGAATAAATGGAGTTCTGCTTCTCTCTCGGCCTTTAAAACAAATCTCAAATTTGTCTCTTTTTGTCTAGGAGGAAAACTCCCCACTCAGAAGTCTGTCTCCGCCCGCCTCTAATTCAGCTTTATTAGGGCACTGAAGAATCTTTTTACCTGCGGCGACGTCTCAGCTCTTCCTGGTCGATCTCCAACCCGACTGCTTTCTATGAGAGATGGAACAAAAGAGTTTCCATCAGGAGACGAGCTCAACCCCCGTTTTTTTTATTCCCTTCTTTAATTTCACTTTCTCTCTGACTAAAAACCTTTTTCTATATATATTATATATTGTATTATATACGGTGTGCTCATGAGACCAGAGGCTCAGTAAGGCCTTTGAAGGTATATTGCTGAGCTCTTTGGCTCAGTCTGAATAACTGACCTTTTGCTATGAGCAGCCTTGTGAAAGCTTCTGAATGTGCCAGCTCCACTCAGGATGGCGGCCATTCTCCATTAATGCATTTGATACCAACCCACTAACACTACTGCTTTGTGTTATTTTCAGTCGGCTTTTTCATCCGAGCTTCAGTCCGTCTCTGTTTATCACCTGTTACTCTCTTTTTTTTTGAGCACTTTAATGAATTTATTCATGCAGTGTGGTGTGGACCTATATCTTCAGTCTTTTTCACTTTTTCCTCATTTTGTTTTTGTGTGAAATGAAAGTTGCTGAAATGGGTGGATGGTTACATATTTTAGCGTTGGGTAAAAACTAGGGATGCACTATATATGGATTGTTAATTACCTGCTTCCTGTGGCCAATAAAGATAGCTGATGATTTAACATTTTTATATTTTAAAAAATAAGTTTGTAACCTGTAGTTTTTACACACTTGATGGCAAGAGATGAAGGAATTATTATTCCATAGTTATAGCTATAATTTAATTATCCCAATAATTCATAATCATTTTAATTTTCCCATAATCGGACGCTTATTTATCTGCCCTGATAATTATTGTGCATCCCTAGTTGCGGTCTGAATGACGGAGGTTATATATATATTTAAGTAGTGGACCTATATCTTCACTGTTTCTGAAATGGGTGGATAAGAAGATTTGGATGGTGACATATGTTAGCATTTGGTAAATTAGTTTTTTTGCACTGTATGAATGAAAGAGTTTATATATTTGAGTTGAACTTGCCACAAACCCAAGGCCTACTTTAAAGATTAGCTTGTGCCAGGTGTCACTGTTGGATTTAAAGCGCCTGTAGCAAACACTCGGGGCTTCACGAACAAGCAGTACAGTCGTCTTTGTTTACACAGTTGAGATAATGCTGCGAGTCCAACGCCAGTGTCGCAAAGTTGCCAAACTCTGTTTAAAACTGCAGGTAGTTTAACTGAAGCACTACCAGCTACACCAAAGGAACACGTTTGAATTATTTGTTCACTGTTGGAGATCATTTACATATTTTCTCATGTTCTCAAGTTTAGAATATAGTTGGCGACGTTGCTTCAAAGTTACTGATTCAGAATATATTACAGTTGTTTAATATTCTGGATTTATTTATATTCAAAGCGATGCACACTTTATGTAATTTTGTTACAAGGGAAGAAATAAAATAAGAGCAGTAGACAAACTAAGAGGGACAATACTAATAAAATGTCTCTGAAGGACAAGAATAACGGGTCAGGAGCTTTAAACAAGAGGCCAACGGGTGATTTCTTTTTTTTTCTTAGACTCAGGATTACCTACTTCGCTCACGTTGTTCAAAAGGGTGTCATTTTTATCAAATTTTCCAAATTAGATTAGTTGAAAAGAAGCTATTTATTTGGTAGTTAATTAGAAGTGTTATTATATTGACCTTGACTTCCCACTTCAGTGTTGGCGGCAGATTGTAGTTTTTACAGAAACGAGTTGAACCTCATGTTCCAAACCAAACAGCTGCAGGCTCGCTGGCACTTCAGGTACAATTAGTTTCAAGTTTTTTTGGTGCCAATATGATGCTTGAGATTCTGTGACAGTATGAACATACTGTAATACTATTTTTTTTTTTTTTTTTATCCCTCTGAGGAATACAAACCCATTTTTCTGTTCAACAAAAAAGCCAAATTTCTCATAAAATTTCATTTAAAATTACATGGTGTTACAGACACAGTATTGCGGTTCAATACTGGAATTTTGTCCTATCTTGTGAAAAACATGCGCTGAAACCAACAGGTTAGCCTCAAATTCTTCTGTTACAATGTAAAACTAGTCTCAGCTCTCTGGAAGTCAGTTCTCTATCAGTGAATCTCCACATATGCTTCAGAATAACGCGCTACTCGTTACGTTTGGGTCACGTTGGTTGGTTCATATGCTAGCATAATATAAAAGGGCAATGATGGTGCAAACAAAAAGTAATAAAAGTTTGGATGATATAATGATTTAATTTGTATTCACGCAGCCACAACGGCTAAAATAAAACTATTTTTTTCCTCCAGTAGGGGGCAGCTGAGCCAAAGAGAACAAATGGGCTGTTAGCTTGTGTAACTTCGGCCCGGCCTTGTGCACGTCTTTGCAGCTATACTGAGTCGTTTAACTTGAAGTTCGGCTTATTTTCCATTTTTAAACCACCAAACACAAACTTTTACACTCCAAAATCATAAATAACTACATATTTTATAAAAAATGCTTATTATCTTATTTGATCGCCAGATACTGAACTTGTATATTTTGAAACTTCCACTTCTCTCACTGAGGTTAACTCAGCCAATAACAAAGCAGCTCTGCATCTAAGAAATGTTTGTAGAACAACAATCTGCATGTCAACACATATCATCCAAAGTGTAAGTCTACAGTGTGAGTGTAACATTAAGCTTTTATACTGTATAATGTCTAAATGTTTGACTCCTGTGTGTGTGTGTGTGTATGTGTGTATGTGTGTGTTTGTGAGGCCTTTAAGTGCCAGAGCTACAGGCTGATGAAATACAAAAGCATATTAATAAAGTGTTTTGAAATACAAATTTCAGATTGTGTCTCTTGCAGATAAACTGGAGTAAGGTCAACTGGCTCAGATTGATTGAGATTCACTCCGTCATCCAATCACATCCAATGTTTGTTTGATAGTCAAACCTCTGGTGACAGACTGCCGAGAGAAACTATTTGATCTTAAATGATTAAAACATGTGATCATATTTAATCACGCCGGCGTGTTTACACTAATTAACCAAGATAATTTGGGTTTTTTTTCAGTCCACATTCACACAGCTCTCACTGGTCATTTTTAAAGGTTGCAGCAGACGTGATGCTGCAGGGACTCGAGATATTTTAGAGATTTAGTGATTTACAGGTGAAAAGATAAATAGAGTGACAGCCAGAGATTCCTGGGAAACGTCTGGGAAAGCTAACACAGTTAAAGGTTTCTCAAATTAATCTGACAGCGTGTTGAAATTTGTCTGAACGCCTATGTTACCTATAACATTACATATAAACATTGTTAAAGCAGCAACAAGAAACCTAACTTTTGTGTTGATTCTGGCGCTCCCCTGTGGACAAAAGCGTGTAGTGTTTTAATCACTGACTTCAAGGGGAATCCAATGTAATTAAGAATAACTAGACAGCCAATCTACTTATGGACCTACAGAAACATTCAGTATTACATTTAGACTGTTTCTCCTGCTTAGTAGTTATTTAAACCTGGATTCCCTTTTTTCTGGTCACTTGGGGGCAGTGCAACAAACTGTATGGCTTATTCCTTTGTTTGGAAACACTAGGTTTTTGGTATAGAATTGGTTAGTGAGGCTTTTCTTTCCATTTTCTGTTTATTTCAGTACGTTTTATGCTCTTAGAATCCTCTTTTTCTCATATTTATTTATTTGATTTAAGCAGCATCCACCAGTCCTTTTCCTTTATAGTCACCTATTTTTGTTTGTAAGGAAATCCAAGCTCCTCATATGTTTGAGTTAACCAAAAACTACCTGGTTTTTGTTGCTTCCCTTTACCTTTACAAGCTGGGGCATAACTATGGCTGGGTAGGTACAGTGTGCTTTTGAGAGCTTCTTTGCTGCTGCAGTGGAGACGATGCTGATGAAAGCCAGTGACACTAAATAAAATTTAGAACAGCTGGGGACTGTAAAACCAAAACAATAAGCTGAAAGACCCTAAAAAAAAATCCTTACAGCTGATGAGAACTTGAGAGTCATCTGATAATCGTCACTTCAGGCAGCACATTTCACATTATATTTATTTAATCCATTGTTAAAATAAAAATATGAAAGTATACCCTGGATGTAAAAAAGTTTTACCTAAAATTTCTAAATGTCTTTTGACCTGAAAATCATTCATCATAACCGTGCCTACTGGGTATATAAACTGGGTCTCCTCTGAGTCAGTCTCTCTACATCAGTCGCTTCTGACGGTTCTTTTTGGCTCATGACCCGTTAAAATCAAGTTGTCAGCGGTTCAGACGAAGAGTCATTTTTCCTGCTCTTTCATTTAAAAGGATTTGTAGACGCCTGAAGAGCTGAGAGGATCCAGTCATTCACACGAAAAAAAAGCAAAACTGTGAGTCATTTGGCTCTCACCTTTTCCATGCTACTGGCTGGGCGTCTTATTCTTCATAACAGAAAACCGCCACCACCTTTATTCGAAGGACAAGAGGCCTGATGAGCTTCTCACGTCTGGAGAGAACAAGGAGGAAAGACAGAAATGTTTATTAAAAGAGACCTGATGAAAACAGTGGTGAGAGAACTCTATGCTGTGTTTGTTGTTCTTCATTTATTTTGGAAGCCTACTTCTGGGATTTATTATAATCTTATTTTAGTATACATTAACAACAATATTATAATATATATTATAATACAACATTATTTATGTAACACCTTTTAAAAAAAGTGCTTCAAGAGACAAAGCAACACTATCGTCCTGATTCAAAAAATGTAAAGAAATATAAAAATTAAACCAAAATACAATAATAAGAACAGAATAGAGGCGATGAAAACAACCAGATAATCACTTCACCTGTCAGTGGTCATAATGTTATGGCTGATTGGTGTATATATTTATAATAATGTTAATAAAAATACGTTTAAATCTTAAATAATCACCTAGACTTTGTAGAATGAAATGTGGAGCTGTAGGCCTACTGTGTATATTTTCCTTTTTTTTTTCTTTTTTCTTACGCCTTCTTAAAATTAAGAAGGCCACGCGACCCCCTTGAAGTTTTGGTGACCCCTAGTGGGGATCCTGACCTCCAGGTTGGGAACCACTGCCTTATGTGTTTTCCTATACCATCAAAAAACAAAAAAAACTTCTGGAAATTGATTTCTTAAAAGGAGTGGGAACAAAAAATATAAAATATGAGTCATTTTGTGTATCAAATATGATTTTTAAATCCCTTTGAAGCCCTTAACAATTGACTCGGACCCCCCGGGGAAGATGTGTAGCCGAAGTTAAGAACCACTCTTACATTATCTGTGTTCCCAAATTGAAATGAATTGACCGTACAGTGTGAAAGACCTTCAGCATTACAGTGGAGCTACAGTGATCAGATCACTACATAGAACCAGCCTCTAGGTGTCAGACTTGCCTCTCTGTGAGCTCTATGTTTGTGGTTGTTGTTTCACACACACTCTCTCTCTCTCACACACACACACACTATCACAGCAACATTTTTCATCATGTTTTGCGGCCGTGCTGCTGAGTAAGAGACTGCTGCCAGCAAATCCACCACTTTCCATCCATATTGCCCTTTTCTCTCACACTCACTCAGTCTCTGACAAATAATAGGTTCATCTAAAGTTGCCATACCAAATTGCTTATACACACAAACACACACAC